GGAGACTAGGATCCAGTGCAGTCTTGAGAAACCAGTCCCATGGCAAAGTAGGAGCTAGGAGAAGAGAGGATTAGTTAGAGGCCAGCAGAGCCTCCAGGAAATGCGGGCAGGACTGTAAATCCCTGAAGAAGACCAAGTTTGAGCAAGAGTGTGACAAATGTAGGCTGTGTATGTGAGTCTAAGGGAGATCAGGTTTCAGAGAACATGATGGCAGGGCACTTTGAGAAGTACAGAGTGGATGCAGTGAGTGTTCCAGCTCTTCCAGTCCAATACCTGGATCCAGAGCCAGCTGACTGGGTACAGTGCAGGGTTCTTGAGATGCTGATCCTCCCACTGGCTCCTCTTGTTTCTTAGCTGCAGTTGAGGATGGCATTGGTGGAGCATGCAGTTAAATGGATACTCATTTTGAAGGTAGTCACGAAGCTCAGACAGGGCAGGAATTTGGGTAAATGGAACATTAAATTGTGGTTTTGTTAGTGTAATGGTATGCCCTTGACTTTTATGGTGGGTCAGTATAAGAAACAGCCATATGATTTCTACATTGAATATAAAACTTCTATTGTCCATTCTGCTCTTTGCTTTTCCTCCAGGTCTTCACATGACTTGTTCCTTCAGGTCTTCTCTGAGAGCGTTTCCCTGAGCCCTCACCCCTAGCTCTAAACACCTCCCCGCCGCTTCCTTATTTTTCTTCATAGCCTTTATTGCTGCTGGAAGATTTATTTACTGTTTATTGTCTTTCTTCCCCACTAGAAGTAGGCTTCATGAAGATGGGAACTTTGCTTTCTTGTTTGTGCTGTGTAAACCTCCAGTACTGAGAACATACTTGGTATATGGTAGGCACTCAATTAGGATTTGCTGGATGAATGAATAAGAGACCTCTTGGTGTTCTTTCTAAAGTTTTTCTCTCCTAATGGATTGATGTTCCTTCTTTTATTGGATAATGAGAACTAAGTTTTCTGTTTCCTTTTTTGCCTTAGCTACCAAGAATTGCTAAGTTAAATTTTGGGTTCATTTGCGATAACCATCCTTAGCTTGCGATGTCTATGCTTCCTCACTTGCTGTAGAACTTTTAAAAAATATTTATTTCAGTTTCAATATTACTTATTGTAAGTTGCCTGAAATCCTGTAGGGAAGTAAATGAGGATTGAATAATAATAAATGAACTGACTGAAGGGTAACAGAGAGAAATCAAAAAAGAATGCCAGACTTTTGGGTCTGGATGAATAAGAATACTGAAGCTGTTGTTAATAGAATAGGAACCAGATCAAAACATTACTCATAAAAGTATTTTTCTCCTTTTGGCCACATCTCACTCCATTGTTGTTGCTTGGTCAGTTTTTTTCCTCGTCTCCTTTAGGCTTTGAATGCCATAAGGGGAGGGACTGTGTCTTTCTTATTTATGATCCACAGTGCCAAGCAGAAAAATACGATTTATTTTTAACTTTAAATCCCTACATTAGTAAACATTAACTGGTTTGTCATCTGCTCTTACCTTTTCAACCTGCAATTTCCCCTCCTAATGGATTTCCAATCTTTTCACTTCTCTGTGCCTTCCTTCCCGACAAGGGACCTTCGTTCCTTTAACCACAACAGCCTTCCACTCCAGGGCTCATGAATGTGTGCCTTTTCTTCCTTTCCCTGTCTCCTGAATCTCATTCCCCTGATCCTAAACCAAAGGTGACTCATCAACTCAGAGACTCCTAAAATTGGAAGAAGCCAGAGAGATCATCTCATCTAATTGGCTCATCTTCAGTTGGTCCAAAGAGGTGAAGCGAATTGCCCAAAGTCACACTGCTAGTTGCCAGCAGGACTAAAACTAGAACACAGATTTCTTAACTCTGGATCCACATCTCACATTGCAGAATGAGCAAGCCCCTTCCCAGCTCCAGAAAGGGAAAGTACTACAACAAAAGTAGAAAAGTATATTTTCCTCTTAGTTAGAAATATCTGAAATGCAATATGTCATAGGAGTTTAAGTGTCAGACTACCTAAGTTTGATTGTGGTTGTGTTTACTCTTTGGACAAGTTATTTAACTCCTCTATTTTAGTATATCCTTTCTTTTTTCTATACATTTGTATATTTAATATACATATTTAAGTCTGTAAGTTTGGTTTGTTAATAGTGAAAGAAATTTTGTGTGTGTTTTTACGTATATAAATGGAAAGATATGGGTTCTATTAGTTTCTTTCACTTAACGGTGTCTTTTTTTTTTTTTTTAATTTTATTTATTTATTTATTTTATTTCCCCCCAAAGCCCCAGTAGACAGTTGTATGTCACAGCTGCACATCCTTCTAGTTGCTGTATGTGGGACGCGGCCTCAGCAAGGCCGGAGAAGTGGTGCATTGGTGCACGCCCGGGATCCGAACCCCGGCCGCCGGCAGTGGAGCTCGTGCACTTAACTGCTAAGCCACGGTGCCAGCCCCTCACTTAAGTGTCCTAAGGTGACCTTTCCATATTAGTGCACATAATTCTGTCATGTTCCTTTTAATGGCTGCATAGTATTCCATAATATGTATGGTTATGTAACCACTTCCACATTAATGAATATTTAATTTATTCCTTCTCATTTTTCACTATTACAATTCTGCAGTAAAATCTTTATGCAGATATCCTTGTCACATGTGTGACAACCTCTCTAGGATTGATATTCAGAAATGCAAATACTAGGTCTAAAAATAGGCACAAAGTCCCCCCTTTTCTTTTTTTAAACATTTATTCATTTATTTTTTGGGGGGGGTGTGTGTGAAGAAGATCAGCCCTGAGCTAACATCCATGCCAATCCTCCTCTTTTTGCTGAGGAAGACTGGCCCTGAGCTAACATTCATGCCCGTCTTCCTCCACCCTATATGGGATGCCACCACAGCATGGCCTGACAGAGCGGTGTGTGGGTGCGCACCCGGTATCCGAACCCAGGCCGCCAGCAGCGGAGCACGCGCATTTAACCGCTACACCACGGGGCCGGCCCAGTCCCCTCTTTTCTATCCTGAAAACAGACTATAGCTAAGTCACCATTGATTCAGTATCTGCGATATATGTTGATGTTAACTGGGCAGGAGATGTTTTATGACTGCACGTATTGTATTAGGAACTGGGAGCATTTTAGAGAAATTACTCCTTCATTTTTTTCTTATATCGTATGGAAAGTACATTGTGTTCTCGACCTTGAGCGAAAGCAAAAAGAAAAACAAAAAAGTACTTCTTCCTCCCCCTTCCAAGTGACTGAGATTAGTGAAATTATGCTCTCTAAGCAACCTCTGCTTGACTTTATGACCGCATTAACCACACAGTACTGTAATTGTTGGTACTTATCTATTTATACCCACCCCCTGAACTTGGGGCTTGTTAGAGTGTAAAGATGATGTTTTATCAATTTTTGTGTCCCTAGAACATTAGCATGATACCTAGCACATAATTTTGTTTTGTCGAATAAACTCATGAATTCAATTCAACATTAGCATTTGTTGAGTACCTAGTGTGTACAAAGATTACTAAGAACTGATGAGAACAGAGATGAAGCAAAATTCTACCCTCAAGGAATTTATAGTCTGGTGGGAGAAATAGATATAGGCTGAAAACGTGTAGGAATCAAGGCATTAGTGACAAATGTGATTTAAGTACAAAGTACTGTGGGATGGATGTCCAAGGAGGACTAAGTAAGGCTGACTGAGGATGTTGAGGAAGTTTTCACAAAGGAGGTGGCGTTTGAACTGGGCCTGATAGGACAGGTTGGTGCTTTTTCTATGTAGGTTGTCATTTTGGTGATTAAGAATAGGTGACTTCAGGGGCCAGCCCGATGCCGTAGTGGTTAAGTTCGTGTGCTCCGCTTCGGCAGCCTGGGGTTCGAGGGTTCAGATCCCAGGCACGGACCCACACACCACTCATCAAGCCATGCTGTGGCGGCATCCCACACATAAAGTGGAGGAAGATTGGCACAGATGTTAACTCAGGGACAGTCTTTCTCAAGCAAAACGAGGAAGATTGGTGACCAATGTTAGCTCAGGGCGGATCTTCCTCACCAAAAAAAAAAAAGAGAAGAATTGGTGACTTTATTTTTCCTTTTTTTTTTTTTTTT